GATATAAAAAATGGTCATTTATATGAATTTATAAGAAAAGTGTGTACATTTTTATTTTTATTTTATATTATAATCTATATTTAAGTAGCCCTGCGTATTGACCCACCGAACGAACAGTTTATATTCACGACTTCTTTCGGTTATACGTATAATATACATAAATAATAATAAATACATTTTATTTTTAGTCAGTTTTCAACTTTTTATGGCATGCTTTGGCTTGTTTAAACATTTTTAGGACATATTATATCGCTTATTTTAAAATCAATTTCAGTTTCGTAAATTCATTCGCCGTATTCGTTTATCGGACGATTGCTAGGTACAACATAAGAGAGAAGTGAATTATATAGAGTTTTTTGAAATGTGGTGTTGTCAAAAAAATGATAAAGGCGGATAGAGTAACGAACCGCGACGTATACTGAACAGCAAATAAAGTACCGAGAAACGTTGCATCATAACAATATTAAAGTCAGGGGGGGTGGCAAAAATATAGGGGTTTTGCGTCAGCGGCGGTGACGTTACGATATCACAGCTTGCCGAAAAGCGTCACAGAAGGAGATGTACAGGAGATGCCATTATCAGAAGAGGAGACGGACCACGTGCAGGACGGAGTACACGAAATAAATTATGATTAGACGTGACGGATAACGACGGTGATGGTTTGCGATGATTGAAAGGAATTAATAAGTTACGAAAACGAGGCGCGGAGATATACGCGGGGAAAACCAATATCAGGCGACCGGAGAGAGACGAGTAGAAGAGAAGTTTAATATTTCGTATTAAAAGTCGGACGTTGAAAAATAATTCTCGTGCTTTTGGAGGAGGTACGCGCGCGTAGGTACTATAATAATAATTATTCGTGAATATCATTCGCGGGTACGTTATTTTACCCATTACCCATAATAATATGTCTCTGATTAATTTCACTCGTTTTCACATCGGGAACTCAGCACGACAACCGTCAAAATGTAATGGATTCAACGTCGTCGTCTTCGTCGTCGCCGTTCTGCGCACCCCGGTGCAACGCCGGACAATAAACTCGGGTGAAACGGGGATTCATTTGTAAAATTAGTTCATTAAATTAAGTGTTAATTAATTAACTAATTAAGGGCTCGGTTGCGTGATGCGAGCGGGACGACTTAATTATGGTAATGCAAGAATATTATATTAAGACGCCCGTGCGTGTGCATTAATAGCAAGCTAACTGTACAAAACAATCGTACATCCGCGGCCAACGGCGGATTCTGAATTATGACCGACCCGGGAGAATTTCGTTTCACCTGCCCAATTATTAATTGTTTTATAGATCTGCGGACACGACGCATTTAACCATCCTATCGTAGTTCGTCAGGCAAGCATATTATCTTAAATTGTGGTTATTATTCTTCTCATTGTCAAAGACGTATAACGCACAATACGCCATGGCCAATAAAAAATGTTTCTATCGAAAAATAAAAAGAAAAGAACAATTTTAAGTACAAAATCAGTCTTATGATGATAGGCCCGGGTGAAGTCGTAACCGGGCTCCGGCCCCCTGGGAAACTTCCCGGCCTCCCGGTGGCACAATCCGCTACAGCCTACGGTAATCTAGTGTAATGTATATACAAGGTGATTTAAATTTGTATTTTAAAGTACATCGAGTGTGTTTTCGTTTTTTTTTTTTCAGTCTTTACATCGTGACGACGTTATTTTAGATCTTTTTTTGTAGTTTTTATTGTACGGTTTAACGCGCGATAACCTCTTATTTACGATATTTTCACAATTTTATTCGTATTCGTGTACGCCATCCGTCATAAGCACACGCATACCGACTTTTGATTTTCATTGGTCCACCCCGTTTTTTCGATTGTGTGTTGAAATGTTGGTGAGAGGGAGTGGGGGTTACCATTTGAAAATCTTAAGTCAATATATTCAGGGTCGGACAGTATATTTAATGCGTTATCATCACTATCATCATCTAAAGGTTGTGCCTTGAAGTGATGACCATATAGCTCTATCGTTTTTCACGTTCTTTAGTTGATGGCTGACACCTATAAGCCGCTTTAGCTCTTGTGCTTTCTCTATAGTTCTTTTCCCAAAGAACTTCTCATCAAAGATGTTCCTTATGAGGGTGTTATGTTTGGAAAAGTGTCTAAAATAGTGTTTTTAACACGTATCTAAGGTAAAATGATTGTATCTCGTATCGTCATACTGAAATCAGTGTACTTAATATCGAGTATCTAGATACTCATTGTGAAGTTTCTTGATCGTAGGCTTTCGTCAATCGGGTATTTTTTCCTCCTGGCTTTTCGTATAATATTTTAAAAATTGAAAGTTACCGAATGGGAATTTTAAAAAATACTTCAATTTTAATGTATCGCTTATCTTATATATCGATATTTGTTACATGCGTAATATACTAGTATTTCATAGCTAGTTACTGAAATAAATGCATAGTGACGAGTATCTATAGATACCATTTCTGAAGTATTTCGTCGATAGCTTAATGTACCGGTTTAAGTGATAATAATAATAATCTTTAAATATAATTACTTCTAAATGTACAACGCAACACTTATTAATATATTATTTTTATTCATTTAGTTTTATTCAATTATGTTTTTGTTTTTATTGTTACTTTTATTAATATTTTAAATTTTTTTTTCTCTTTTTTATTGTTTTCCATTATAATATAATAAAATAAGTACGCCTACCCAACGTACACCGAGGTTTTACCTCGGTGTAGAGTAACTTCTAGTATTATCCGTTTTGTATAATATTGTAAACTGTATATTTCTTTGGCTAGAACTTCAAAATAAATAAATAAATAAGTTAATAAGGGGAATATTCCTGTTACGACGGCGAAAATAACGGCAAACAATATTTGAAAATAACACGTTAAATTAACGATTGAAATTAAATTGTATGTTGTATCGTTCTATACGCCAGTGTCGTTGCGTATCAAACTTTTTCGAGATTTCGTAAAAGTAATAATTTCGGGGCGAATAAAATTTTTATCAGAAACAATAACGCGCGATTGTGTCGTGAACGGAATTAACGCGCATTAACACCTCTACATATATAGTTCTTATTTTAGAGAACTGAAACAGCGCGGCGGGGTCGGGAGTCGAGTGTCGGCGAGGTTTGCGAAAGTTTGCCGTAAACTTTACCCGTGATTTTCAACAATGGTGGTGTAATAATATTATCTTTCTCTTTCTTTCTCGATAATTATTTTGTCGACACGACTACACGCACTTATTGCGAGACGAACGCCTTGCGTGATTGAACCGATGTGTATACGTGCCCATCGGCTGAAACCTCAGGTACTAGGAGAGTACGTCGTTGCCTCTTCCTTTCCCCCCACCCCCGTACGGAGTCGCGCACGGCAACGCGAAATAAAACCCGTCGATATCGTTGTGTTATACACCCGGTAACGCGTGTTGACGTTGCCGAATAGGCTAAACGGGACATCCACGAACGTGTATACGGAATCCTCTGTTCGGCTCCCTGTTCAATAAAATAATCAGTGGCGGCGTATGGTTTTTGATTTTTTTCTAGGGGACGATATCTGGAAAAAAAAAAAAAACGGCAATAAACTCTGTCTCCACGCGCCTCCCGATTTCCAAACTAGGTTATAAACTTGCGACACGTGGTGACGTAGGAAAACGACTCTGATTCGTCGCTAGGTACATACGAAAACCTATAACCTGCTCGCCCAAACCCGAACCTGCCCTTAGGTGGTGGCGATAGCGTCCCAAGTGCGGTAAACCTGAACCGTTTGACTTGACGCTAAACCACGTCGGCCAGGTCACTGGGGAAAAATTCGAATAGAAAAAAAAAAAAAAAAAAATTCAAACATTAAATATCTTATCGTCCCGGTAATCGGCCGCCGTGACTGAACAATAAGCGACCGGGCCGCGTGTGTCGTGGTGTGCTGTCATGATCGTATGTTCCTCACCTTCTCTGTGACCGCGGATACGGTTCGAAAACGCGTACACCGCGCGAGTGTAAACAAGCGGCGGGCGGAGGGAAACCAACAAGTGTAGGGTAAGCGACTTTATAACCGTTCCGGAAGTCGTCGCAAAATACGTAAAATAAAAAAAAAAATGTTGTTTTTTTTTTGTTTTTTGTTTTTAAAACGCCCCTCCGGTTACGTATGTTATGATATAATGCGTACACCGGGGAGGACGACGTCCGGACGTACGGACGCGCGCGGCGTATGACGGTGATAAACGCGTGTGATGTTTGCCGCGCGCCCGAGCGAGCGAACCGACCCGCGCGTCGCGCAGCGTCGTCGGGCGCACCGCCGATGCTTTCCCCGGGGACGCGGACGGCGAACGCGCGCGCGGCACCACGAGCCGCGGCGATACGGCGCAGCGAAATCCGGCCTATATCGCTCGTTTCGCCGCGCCTCCTATCGCCGCGGTACCGATAAAACACCCGCGACGTCGGCCCGCGAATCGTACCCTCCGCGCGCCCGGAACTTTTCCGGGCGGTTGGGGGGGGGGGGGGAGGCCGCGGGGATGCGAACGCGCGCGCCTCCGGCGACTGCGACTGCCGCCGCCGTCGCCGCCGCTATAGTGCCGTCACGCGGCACACTACCACCGCTACCATTATTTCATATTATATACGCGATACTATTACGGGCACCGCGGCGACGGCCACCGCAGCGATACGTCGTCGTGTCTGCGCGCACCACCGGCGCCGCCGCCGCCGGATCGCACCACCGCGGAGAGCCGGCCGCGCAGAGTGAGGCCGTCCCCTTTTTTACCCGGCCGCCGATCGCTCACCCCCGACGCTGCCGCCACCCCGGTCACCCCTCTCCCCCCCAACTACCACACACACACACACACTAACACACACACACACACACACACACACATTCGTATATTATACTGTAACACCGAGCACCGCCGCCGCTACGCTCGGCTACTCGCTGCTCGCGCGCTCATCATTCCCGGACCACCTGTTCGATCGGGCCTGCCGTCGTCGTCGTCGTCGTCGACGCCGCCGACGCCGTCACTGCCGCCGTAGCAGCCGTCGTCGCGGTCGTATACCAGTGGCCGTGTCGCGCGCGCGTTTCCGGGAGTGTGTACGTGTGTACGTGTGTGTGTGTGTGTGTGTGCGCGCGTCGTAAAGTACGTTTTATTTTTTAGACTCGCGCGCGGTGCAGTCGCGGTGCACTTTGGTCGCGTGCGGCGTGTTTTACCGACCATTTGACGGTACCGTATATTTTTATTTCCGGGGTTTTTTTTTCCCTTCGTACGCGCGTCGCGTTTCGCCCCGTCAAAGCTTTCCGGGCATAGTTGTTCATTTTTGTTTTGAAATTTTAAATCCGTTTTTTTTTTTTCCTGTTTGCTTGATATGCTCGTGAATCGCGCCCGCTATCGCACGTCGCCGCCGACTCTGTCAACGGCCACTCTCGCGGTGTACGCCGAGTGCGCGTAATCGTCGCGCGAGCGATCATGGAGACCGGTTGATCGTGCACCGTCGTAAGAGGATTCTGCAGGTCAGTCCGTCGCCATTCATACCCGCACGTTTTATGTTCTACGATTATTTACCGTATTTTACAGGTGTCCTTATGCAGCCCCTCTCCCTCTCCGTTTCCTCTCTATACGCGTTTACGCCTGTCGTTTCAAAATAATATGCTTTTTGACGAGTCGACGACGGTACGAATAATAAAAAAAAAAACAAACCGAAAAAACTTTATTGCGATTGAAAAAAATCGCGCTCGCGATTTTTCTTTTATTGCGCTCTTATTATTATTATTTTTTCATTAAATAATCAAAAGGGTAATATGTTCCCGTTTTTTTGTACGGCGATTTTTTTTTTCAAACACGGGAAAGTGTCGAAATAAAAGACATAATAATATTTCACTTAGTCCGAACGAACCGAGTGCACGGCTGCGTTAAGACGGAATATTATTGTAATAATATGTTTCAACAACTTGCGTTTATAAAACGATTTTTATTCGAATGCGTTTTCTCTATACGAAACCGACTGGATAAAAATATATACTCTTTTATTTTTTACAATCGTTTGCTTTATGTGAGAATAATATTTTTTCGCCATTTTTTATTTGACATTTTAATGTTACCTACGGTTACATTTCTTTTTACGTATAATTTGAAAAATCACAAATAGAAAATAATCAATTTTATTGTTACACGGATGTTAAGTGCGATGTATATTATATCCTGCGGTGGAGAAGGGCTCGAGTCAATTTCGTATAGTTTCCAATGCAAGCAAACTAATTGTCGAGAATCGCTTAGTGGTTTGACGATATAATTGCTAAATGGCTAACAAATTACTGTACAGGATAGTTTAAAATATTTTTGTAGTTCAGAGAAAAATAGTGCATAATTTAATTACCACAGTAATTTATTGAAATCTTATCTTATCGCGTTTTCTTTCGTTGGTTTTGTTTTTCGAAATACTATTGTGTTTAACCGACTATTTTTCTGTAAACTAAAAAAAAATGTATTAACAATCACGAAGGCAACGAAAATTAAAAGTTTTCAGAAGATTAAACTCTATGAAATCTCAACATTTTTCGAAAATAAAAAAAATAAAAAGTAATTTATTTAAATTCGTTACCAAAACATATTATACATTTAATCGAAATACGAATACTTGTAATCATTATCCTTGTGGGTCATAAAAAAAAAACAGCATTTGATTGTCTTCATTATATCAGGAAATGTCGTAACAATGTGTATATCTTGGTGAGATAATAAATACGATTTATGATTTTTTTACGGAACAAAAAGCGTACGTCATCATAGCGACTTAAGATATTTTAATTATATTCATTATGGTGTAAGCATATCACATATCACGTATGATGTTCGGACCAAATAATAAAGGGGAAAAAATTGCATAAGATAAAATAAGGGGAAAAAAATAATAAAAAAATGTCGCAAATGGAATTCTCTGGGATACCAAAGATATGGTATTATTTGAAATCCGAAATTCGTGATCGTGTACGTACTTTTCGTATTGTTTGTAAATAATATCAAAATGGCTTAATATTTGTTTTATGTATTCGTATTTTTATCGGAGAATAGAAAACAAACACAGATTCTCCGACGATAACACACGTTTTGTATGTACGGTTTCAACTTATTTTCTTCGCTATAGCTATTACTACGTATAACTTCGATTCGTCCAACAGTACACGGATATAATATTATTAGTTTAGTTTCGTATCGTATTTACTTATTGTATACACATTTGTAGACGATTGTTGATTCGTCTACATTTGTAATATATGTATATGTATTGAATTTAAATATAAAAAAAAAAAAAAAAATCAGAAGTTTCAACCACCGTCTCCCCTCCTACTGTCCCCACCCGACGAGTACAATTAAAATAATTAACATCATATGTGTGTAAGCGAAAAGTAATTGGAAATGTATACCTAGTTAATTAATTAATTTTTCGATAGAGCTTACTATTTATTGTTAACTGTTTACTTTTTTACCGAAACTGATCATATTGCACGTTTCATATTATGCTGCACAGTTTGTTCGTGTTTTGCTAAATAAATAACTATCATTCGTGTTTTTAGAATATTAGAATGAAATAACTCTTGCCAAATTGTGTACGTGGTTTTTTAAACCAGTGTTTTAGGTTTTGCGCGAAGCGAGGTATTAATTGTTTTTACTACATTGCGTTTTATGAAACATTTTTTTTTCTTTCTATAAATCACAATCTCGCCGTAGTCGAAAATTGTATACTAACTACATTGTAGAATTTTTGATCTAGCCGGTTTTTCATTAACAATGGTCTATCGTTGCGTGCAGATACAATTTAAATTAATCAATGTATTCTTCTTTCCGACGTTTCTCTTAAAAAAAAGTATAGTACATCCATTGTTAGTATCGAATGTTTTTTTTCTGGTATACCAATAAGTGAATCAGTTTATAATAAATCTGTCGTATATAAAATGCAGAGATCACAGGTGGTATCTATGTACTATAGATATTTTTGTACGTTTTACAGGTATTTGCATAAAAAAAAAAAGTTTATTCTCGTTCAAAAGTAACTCGGCTTAAAGCGAGGAATGTTAAGAAAAGAAAAATAAGAAAAATGTCCATTTAAAATTATAATAAACTTTTTTTATTCATATAATTTCCTTTGAATTTTTTTATCGTAAGATCTATTGCCTTTTACTCTTTATTTATTCGTATTTTTTTATTTTATGAAGACGTGGCGACATTGCCACAGAGTTTAAATTTATTGTGCTTACATAGTTTCGTTCTTCTTTTTAAAAACCTAATATAATTTATTCTTTGTTGATGCATATTCAAATCGTAATCATATTCGTGTTAATTTTTTTCATCTAAAAAGTACGGATATTATAAGTTCGCAGTGTATTTACAGTGTGTTTAATATACAGGATTTTACTGTTGAAATACATTGCACTGCAGAAAAATGTTGTCAAATCCTGAAAATCGGATAATATTATGAAATAACAATTATTGTTTAAATAAATAGAGATTTTCTTATTGCACAAACTTCATTTTTCGTGGATAAATCATCTGCGACGGTTGCAATTTTTAATAAGTTCACATTATATCTGTCGGAATTTCCGTGTAATAAATAGTTGAAGAATTCGGTATTGTATGTGAATTATTCTAATTTAATTTTCGGAACTAGTAAGAAAAAGCTGCGGGAAGAAAACGACGGAGGATCGGTTGTGAGAAGGCCCTCAGGGGCCGGTGAAGAACAAAAATGTTCTACGTACACAATGTATACAATTTTTTATAAAAAGAACAGAGAAATATCTGGGTTTGAATACTTCGTGGTATTTATTATTATTTGAAAAATTATAAGCTAAAGTAAATTCGTCTTCTTCATTATGCAGTACCTTGAGATTTAAAAAAAAAAAAAAAAAACTGTAAACATCTTGATATTTTTTATTACCCAGTCGAACGAACGGCCGAGGGCTTTATGGAAAACAGCATTTAAAAATAATTAGTTTCATCGGAAGGCTTCTAAATTCTAAAGGAGAATTTATTTTGCGAACTTAACCCGCACCATCCTAGTAGTGATACAATATTTAATCGAGTTAACAAAGGAATTATTATATTATTAGTCAGTTTATTCATTCTAATGGCGAACCGGACATATTTTATAATTCTTAAGCGTTGAATATAAAAATATAGTTTTTTAACGTAATAGTATGTTATTTTTTTATTGCACTCAAACAAAACCTTCCGCATAGTATTATATCGTTACTCCTATTTTTGTGTATAACATCGGCCAATATCATCTTCTTCTTCTACTGGCATATAACTGATCTCTAAGGATTTTTGCCGCCATAACTATACTTCGACATCTGTCTATAATACCTCGAATTAGATGTCTCATCTCTCCAGCATTCGACCCTCAATCGTTACTTTTCTATATCTTCCTCGAGGAGTTTTTTCCTCGAAATTTCTGTTTCGTTGCTATCGTCCATTTTCTCTCCTCATCTTTTTTATGTGACTTGATCGTTGCATCATCTTTTCTTCTTAATGAAGCATATATCTAGTGTTATAGTTGCACCATAATATCGCATAGCTCTCTGGTCGAATCTCTTTTGCAAGTTCCCCGTTGCTTCATCAATTGTTTTTCCACTCATTTTACTCTACAATCTTCTTATTTACGGAAATAAAAGTAGACATTTTTCTCAGATACGTATTATCATACGGCTGATTCGTGTCGAAATTCTTTTGAGCGTATCCTTCACTAAATATTATCAAACGAAAATCGTTAATATATTGAAATGGTATGTATATAATAATAACAGTTATTTAAGGATTACTATATATAACCGTAGAAGACAAAAGACAATTTGTAAATGAACAATCTCAAATGCCCTACTCTTGTCGTACGTGTATAGTTTAACACAAAATATAGTACTGTACCACAATGGCGACGGTTTAATATCTATTGTCGAAAACTGTGTACATAGCAAAAGCGTGATTCAATCAAAGTTTATTAATGATCTGTAAATTGTATATTTGTGATTTCAAATCGTGAGTGTAACGAAGGTCTTATAATTTCGTCGTAAGATGTCGTTTTTGCTTTTCTCGGAAAATACTTTTTCGTTCAATGCAAAAAGCTCTAATTTTTTACACAGTAACTCGTAGATGTGGATTTTTGACTTTATTCGAACCGTTTTCCTGTCGATAATAACCGACAGTTTTTCTAAACAATTTTTTTTTTATATTGTTTATCAAACAAAATAATTCAATTTTGCTTGAAAAGTATGAAAAAGTTCAATTCAAAAGTTTCAATTTTGAAACTTTTTTTGTTTTGTATCTGATTTTCGTGACTGTAGCAGCAACGACTTGGTCTTAGTATATATTTGTACATTGGTATCAATCAACCTAATAACGTGCTGTACTGACGGCATATCATAGAGTAATACTACAGTACTATGTAGTGTTGCTATATGCGGTGTACCTTTAACGTATTCTAAAAATGTATTTAATATGAAGTAAGCTCCTTTAGAGAGGGGACATTAAACACCTCGACTACTTTTATTTTTAAGCGTTTTATTTATTACTTTTTTGACTGTTTTAAGCGCTTTTTTGTGTGGATTTTTAATGGATTAAAATCCGTGCTCTAGTGATAACACTGTACATATCACGGAATAACTTCTGCTGCAATCATATTAAACAAATATTCTGACAATCGACATAATCGACTGATTATAATATTAAATAATAAATTATTTTAAGAATTTAAAAAAAAGAAAATAAATAAATAAATTAATAACTTTATAACACATTGACGCAACTATCCGAATCGCTGTCAATTGATTTGAGTTAATTTGAAAGCCTAGACGCAAAGTCCCTGTTAATAAATGGCTAAATAGTAGTTGAAAAAAAAAACGACTGCGCGTGATAATAAGCTGACTAATATTCTAATTAGAGCTTTATTTTTAATGTACGTCTTTCATAAAAAGCGGTTTATAACAAATTATTAATGTCCGTACAACCAGAAACGAGGGTTTTTAATTGACTCGCTGCTGTACAACGTAAATTTTTTATACATATTAAAACAATATTATACACACTTTATAATTTTACCGTTAAAAAAATACTCAACGTTTACGTCTTTATTTCTTTTTCGGCATTTACCGGCCAAAATGTTAACGTTATAATAACTCGGACCAAGTCGTACAGCATTTGAGATTTTAATATATTATTACTATTATTATTCAAATTATTCGGCACTCTGTACACGGAGATTATAGCGGTATTTTTTGACTGGGTGGTATTTAGATTTAGAACAAAACAAAGAAAAAAAAAACATCGTAACAAATAATTTTTTATAATTTATTATAATGCGAATAACGAAAAATGAAGGTAATGGTGAATAAAAAAAAAATAAAAAAAAAAAAGAGACTAATTTATAAATCGTTATTTTGATTGAAATTCTTAACGATATTTGAATGGGTATTAACACTATTAACTTATAAATCAACTTCTTCACTCCACCAAAAGCTATGCTTAAAGAAGGTATAAATATAAATCCAAGAATGATATTGTATTTTATTTATTTATTTATAATATTTTACTGTACTAAATTATGTGTACACATTTTCCTTGATTTAATAATAATAATAATACAAATGCAAATTATTATTATTATTATTAGATCGGTTTTAAAATGGAAATGCGACTGAAATCGTAGGGCTAACACTTTAGCAACAGTTTAAAATAAATACAAATTTTTTTAAAAAAATCCAATGAAAAATAAGATAATCTTTTTTATTTGATGGGCGCAATATTTAAATAAATAAAATTAGTTTTTTTTTATACCGGATGATTGATTGTTTTACAAATACTAGAAGACGATTTATTTTTGTTATGTTCAAATTTCGTGTACAATCACCGGCCAAAAACGATTTTATCCAAATTAAAAATACAAACTTCTAAAATGTCAATTGGTTATAAATAGCTTAAAAAATTCACTAGAATATGTTGACTAAACAATTAAAATAACCTATACCGTTGAATAATTATAGAGCCAACCGATTAGGTTGGCTGGGTTATGTACTCAAATCAAACATCATTTCAAAAGAAGTCCTCAATTTGAAACCACTGCAAGGAAAGAAGCCACTAGGTAGACCTAACTCAACGGGGGTATAATCATTTTTTAAAGGATTTAATAACACTAGAAGTGAGATAAAAAGTGTGTTACGCAGCAGTATGACCAAACGGCCTCTGACGCTGAAAATAAAAATTGATAATAAATAAACCTTTATTGCTTGAATAACGTTTTTATTAGGTTTTTTTTTCATCAATATAATTTAAAAAAAAACTGATACTGGGGATGGAAGCAGCCTTTGTTGTAGGTGAGCAGTTAGGAAGGTAGAATGCATAAGGTTGTTTCATTTATATCTGTAATCAACGATAAACCATTGCTTGGTGGAAGACGATTCCGAGCACAGTTTGGTAATACATAATTTGATGTGCTGTAATTTTTTTTGCGATTTTTATTTAAATTTGATTTTTAAAAAAAAAAAAGTCGTCCGATGATTTTAGAAATTTTTCCACGTCTAGCTAAATCCAATATAAGTATTATTACAAAGTTTCTAGTCTCTACGTGTATTTATAACTGAATTACAGCAAAAACTTCCAAAAATTAAAATTCACCAAAACCTAAAAAGTGACTTAAAAGTTATGGCGATGATACCGTAAGAAAGTAAATCGAAAAGGCAACAAAAAAGGTAAATTGTGGTTTTTTCGATTAAATCATTTTTTCTTGTAGAAAACGTCGTCTGTGTTTTTATTAAATAATGAAATCGTGAAATTGTACGTTTTTCCCATTTAATTACTTTTATTTAAAAAATGGCGTTGTAAGTCGAAAATGACGCCTCTAAAGTACAATTTAAACAACTTGAGCTTTCATAAAAGTCCCTACACGTAAATATCGGAGAAAGTTTATTAGGAAAAAAACGTGTCCACAGAATAGAAGAAAGAAAAAAAAGAAATTAACAGCATTGTAAAACCAATAGCTCTCTCGTTACGCTCGGAATCTAAAACTACAATTAAGAAAAATGATCTTCCCAATGCAACAATTAGACAAAATTAGTTACCGTAAACCGCGAGTTGTCGTAACCATAAGTTGATAATTGGTTCGCGGTTTCTGCAGGTAGAAAAGATATTTGCAGACAGAAACACACACACACACACACACACACACACACACAAACATATACATACAATCATACACATCGTTGTAAGACCAATTCATTCCTCCATTCGTTCAGAATCTCAAATACGATCCGGGTTCGTTTTGTTCGCTATTATAATCGTTTACCTCTTTTCCTCGCTATCGAATGGACGAAACGACGACGTTGACTTGATATTATTTTCTGCATACGATGACGGTTGTGCAGCGGTGCACTGGGGCGAAATAAAACCGTTTAGAAATGCGACGGTGGCGTTTACGGCGTACTCGAGACCCATTAAACGAGTAAGAAGTAAAAAAAAAAAATAATAATAAAATACAAATAATGCATTATTCTCTCGTCAACGTCTTGTCGTTCGAGCGCACAATACTGTGCACCTAGGTATTCACATATTTGTATGCACAGGGTGTTGCAAATGCTAGCCGATCCGACTAACGCGCGGACGACTGTTTGCAAAATAAATGTTATTTTTATCCGTGCTCTTTTTCCCCGAAAGTTTATTTTCCCAGCGCAATATTTCCAAATCGTTAACTCTCTCAACAGTTTATTTTTCACAATACAAGATTTTCCAACGTTTTCCTAATATCGCGACATTTCTCAAACGCACGAATCGATTTTTTTCATACCTAAAACAAATATTAAACCGTGAATATAACAATATGTGTTTTAAAATTTCGTTTTATAAATTAAATTATTCTTATTTAGCGCCGTTACTGTAAATATATTTTTATATTTTTATACAACAAACTCTCTTCATTTTCAACAGGGAACATTACATCCGCGTATGAATGGATATAAATCGTTGTCGATTAAAACAGAAATTATGTATTATTCTAAAATACACGGCACGCGTTACTCGGAATATGCGGAATGAATTGGGCAGGTAACATCTGGTAGATTGTGCCGGAGCTCCGACCGCCGCTGCTATGAGCTCAACAGCCCAAAAGAGGCGGAAACGATTTTAGGTTCATATTGAAATCGGGAATATTGTTAGGTTTGAAAAAAATGGGAAACCGGGAAAAATCGACCGGGGAAATTATGTAGAGACAACGAGCGTCCTCTGTTTGTACACGACCGGGGGTTTCGGGTTTGGATCTTTGGGATTTCCAATGCGAATTTCCGAAAATCCATTTCTAATGGATTTCGCCCGTCTGCGGACTCGCAGTCGTCGCGTTACATGCACGAATGCGATAATAACATCATTATACACGCGCACGTCTCACCGGGCACGCCGCTGCTGCGCCGCAGACGTTCGGCGAAATTCGTCCGAACACGCCGACACGGCGACACGACGACACGTGCCGAACAATCGGGGAAAAAAATACTCCTGCCGCTGCTGATCCCGAAAGTTATACCGGGTGGTGACGCGCCGTCAAGGCGAACGCATTAATATTTCATCTATACGCGGCGTTGTATTTATCTCTCCTCTCGCTCTCCTCCGCGGCTGTGTCGGCGGGCACACGTGTTGTGTTCGGTGAAATACACGCGTACCGTGCACGGGGGTGGGGGGAGCGGTTGCGCGGCGGGAGCTGACGACGGGGCGTGCATGTCGAACGGTTCGCGCGCGGACGTACGTGAAATCCCCGCGCGACCAGTCGACGACGTGCGGATACCGGCGGAAACGGTTCCGCCGGAAAAACGTGAGCGCGAGAGATATGGCCGCGGCGCCCGCACCGCAGGAGTGTCTCTTTCACACGTCCGACGATATAAGGAACGTTTAGAATCGCGTGATTTGTGCGGCGGCGTAGCAGTCGACGGCGTCCCATATCGTGTAGATAATGTACACGTGGTGCAGGATTCGGGACTTGAAATGTTCAAATGAAAAACGAACACGAGTAAGGAAGAGCAAACAAAAAAAAAAAAAAAAATCCCGACAAAAAACGTCTCTTGCAGTCTTTTGATTGGGGCGAGTTTTTTGGTCGAAAGATTGTTTGACAGGCAGAAAAAAAAAAACGTCATAGTTAAAACCCTAATAGATCCGTAGCTACGGTCCGAATCTAAAACAGCGAAATACGCGAAAAATATATTATTAGCAACATCAACAAATTTTTATGACCTCTGATTTCAAAAAAAAAAAAAAATTTTTTTAATTGTACAAAAATAGTTAACCTATCACTAGTATAATAATACTTGTATAGTTATATGTTCAATTTTTGAAACAATTTGGAAAATTTACCTTTGTTTAATTTTAAAAAAAAATTCCATATTTATAATAATCAAAAAGGTCTAGTTTTATTATAACTTTTAGTGTCTGGAAACTTTTAACCTTTTTTTATCGAGGGTTTTCTTTAGTTTATACAGCGTATGCAACCCTAAAATAGACAATATGCAAAATGAAAATAGACAAAACTAGTAATTAGTTTATTTTACTTAGTAACTAGTTTATTTTCAATTTGAAACGGTCAATAGGAGCAAACAAACAAAAAAAAAAGACTGTAAAAATCAAAGGCGAGGTTAATAACGAGTCGAATACACTTAAAACTTGAGTTAATTTTAACTTTTTAATAGATTTTAGAGTACACGGCTCTAGTGGTGCCGATCCATTTTAACAGGCGGGGCGATTGCTTCACCAATCGAAGCGGGTAGGCTGGCATAAACCATTGGTTTGACATAACCAAGTGATAAATCTATAGATCACTATTACCGTAATATTTAATGATGAAACTCTGGATACCAAAATTAAATATTAAAAGGGTTAGTTAAAGCAGCAGAGACAGGTATATTATATGGGTTACGGCCTTTTTTTTTCTGAGGGGGTGAAAACTGAATGTATACATTACCGAACTTGTAAATATTGACTTCGTTGCCATTGATGTCGATTCTCTGTGTATTTAAAAAAAAAAATCACAAACTTTATAGATTTAATCATTTTCACCATGACTGCAATAACGTTTTTTTTTTTTTTTTTTTAATTATCTTAAGTTAATTAGCCAATTCAATTTTCATATAAACTTTTAATTTAACCAGCTTTATATTACAATAAAGTAATTAACTTTTAACGTGTAAACTAGTCAAACTTTTTTTCAATTTATTTAACTTAATTGTTCATATAATTTTATACTCGTATATTATCATGTTATATTCATTCAATTCTCCGGTCTGAAATGGGTAATCGTCTTTGGTTTGTATCTCAATTCGCATTATTGTCAAGCGGTACGAAAACAAAATTTATTACGTAAAAGTAAATTTAATTATAGCAGAGGTATTGAGCAGCGTTAATATGAAAAAAAAAAAGTACGAAATTACTTCTCGTGAATACGTGTGCGGATTTAGGTTAAAAGGATTTTAAACGTCACGATTCATCACCCAGTCGCCGCATACGAAATCAAAGTGTTTGTTTTATCGAAAAAGTATATAATATACTTGTCCCTGGGTCTGTCAAAGGCAACTGAAATGCCGTCGCTGGTGCAGTTAACGTTATAATACTGCGTAAAAAAAAAACCAAAAAAAAAAAGTCATCGTCAATTTTCCTCAGTGCGACCGGTAAATGTATTTGGGATTTATAATATGATAAAGTGAATACAAAATATACCTATTCGTCAAAATAACAATAACATACGAGAACAACAAAATATTTATAAAGGGATCGTGTTTTTTTTGTTTGCCTTTTTTCCCCACTGTAAAAGTCTCTGGAGTATTTTACGTGTGAATTAATCGACGATCGATAATATTATATATTTTATGTGCGGAAAGTTATTAAAAAAATAAAACAAAATCATGAAGTTATTTCATTTATACCTGTAACTAACGGTAAAACATTGCGAACAAAAAACGATTCAAAGCGAAGTTTGGTTAGAGATATATTGATATTTCGTAATTTTTTGACAAAAAAAAAAAAAAAAAAACTAATGAATTAAACTCAAATTTGTTATTTATTAAACAGCTAACTACTATACATGACTCATAATGAATTTCTCATCAAATGTTTAACTGTTTCTGTTTAAGTTAACAATTGTATTCATAAAATTACCTACCAAACAAAAATTACGCCAAAAACTCGCTAAATTAAAGTATCTAAAAATAGCTTAAAATGGCTCGAAAGTTTTGAATATTTTACTAAAGCAAATATAAGTTTTTCGTTAAAATTTTCAGTCTCCATAAATATTTTTCATTGGATTACATTAAAACAAAACAAACAAAATTTAAAATAAGAAAAGAATTATTTTCGTTTATTCTATTTTTTAGTTTTACTCGATTATTAAAAAAAAAAATACAAATCAAAAACAATTTTCTTAGTCACCAACTAGATTCAACAAATAAAAACACTTGTCATTTTTCGATTGGAGCATAATTTTCGGTAGAAAAAATAACAACATGTTAAGTTTTATAAAAATTGGCCAACGCGTGTGTCAAAGCTGTGACAATTTCAAAAAGATGACTTTTTCGGTTTTCTGTAATTACGAATTGACATATTTATAATAAGAAAGCAATCATAAGTATAAAATAATTTTTGAATTAAATTTCCTACAATAATATTGTTACTTGGATTTTTTTCATTAAACCACTTATTTACCTATAATAATAATAATAATAATAATAAAGAAAAACTCGTTTTTCGTGTACACGTTTGCTATTAATTTAATTCTTATACACGCTTTGTATTGAAAAAATCAACTACACGGCCATATAAATAGCCTAATAACTTTCAAATAGCAGATAACTGTACGACATTCGTTAAATTATATTTACGAAGTACATATACCGAATACTGGTCTAGGAAACATTGACTGGAATTTAATCTACCGTGATGCATATCATAACAAACGTTGTCAATTGCGTTATCGGTAAATAAAATATATTACACCGAAATTAGAAGAGCCGTACAATACACGGCGAGTTCAACAGAAAAATTCGGGTCTGTGAACAGATAATCAAATTAAAATGAAAATGAGTTAGAACATTATTGTTTTAATGGACTTTTGTGTATCGCTCATGCGGGTACATTAGATGTAATGATCAACCGAAATTTTGACAAATAATTTTTAATAAGACAAAAGACGACTGCGTCTCACCTGTGCTGTAAAGTGTGTTGGTTGTGTTTTTAAATTATATACTTGTGCTGTATTATATTTGACAGATATTTTTGAAATAAATCCTCATAGAGATCTATTACGAACAATTTTTATCGAACGAATGTTCAACAGTTAATTTTTTTCGCAGACATTTGGTATAAAATAAAAATGTCGAAGAAACCGCCTTACACGAATACCGTGATGTATTATTATTATTAATAAATGCCAAGACTATGTTAAAAAAAATGACACGCTTCTTTTTTATAGTTATAGTTTCACGGCTATACATACCTAGACAAAAATATATGTCATATTGTTCTTTAAATCGATAAAAACTTCGAGAAGAAAAACTTTCACTTTATTATTCGTAAACTTCGCCAACGTAGCGTTAAAACTTTTTTTTTCGAGTCGCGGCGTTTCAAATCAATCGAAATCTGTCGTGCCGAACCTTATGTTCGAGTGTACCTATATAGGCCGGTCCATTTACTCATTAATCAGCGATTTTCTTACAGGATTTAAAGTGGATTTGAGGATTCGAGCTTTTTTTTTTTTCTCAATCGTTACATATGGCGATAGTTATCAATGTTTTCAATTTTTCACCATTACCCTGAACATTCGTCGAATCTGCGTTAAAAAAAGAAAACGGCGGGAAGTGGGTTTCTATTTGAAAACTAATATTGCATACGCGCCGAAAAAACACGGAATAAGAGGCGAGAGGGAAGGCGAAAAATTGCGAAACGGCGTTAAAACAAAGGCCAAACGATCATATGAGCAGAAAACAAAAAAAAAAAAAAAACCGACCGAAATCAAATTCGCTTAAAACCTTCCGAGGGTATCGCCGATTCCGTGCGGCAAACGGTTCGGCCCGTATTCGTTCGTTGGCCGCGGGACGTTTTCGTCGTTTCCCAAAACTCCGAACGAAACATAGGCGTATCGAAGAAATCCGCCGCACGTGTAACGTGTGTATTTCAATTTCGAACCGTACATTCGCGCAACCGTAATCACTGTACGAAAACGATTGTTTTCGTTTTCCGTTTGTTTCCGAAACGATTTACCGCGCTGTTAAAAACAGATACATGTGGTAATTATTTCGACCGACGACGCGGAACGCAACGCGCGCAATTGCGACGACGCGCCGGTGGCTTTCGTCGCGTTCACACATTTATAATAACAATAACAACACCGTGGGCGACTGACATGTTTCGCGTTCGGACGGGACTGTATGCGGACACGCGGAGACGGAGCGAATGTTCCCATTCGAGACTCGCGATGGTCGGCGCGATCCGACTCCGGTTCGGGATGCACGCAGCAAGGTGGCGTCGGTTCGATCGCGAACGGTGTCGGTTCGTCGGTGCAACTGTTCGACGGCGTTCCGACGCTAATCGGTTTACGCGCAGGGCCGCCCGATGAAGAAATCGATTGTGCAATAGGAATTTTGCATTTCGCGATCGTCAGCCTTACCGAATTCGCCGCTATACGAAATCGTCCGACGCCGTTTCGAACCGAATCGATTGTGGCGGGCGGTGGAAGGGGCCGGGGTTCGGGGAGACTTCGCGTATACGTCGGCTCGAGCGGTGATCGCGAAACGCCGCCGACGAGCGGCAACAAGAAACGAAATTAATTAATAATAATAATAATAATAATAAAAAAATAAATAAATCGTTACGAAAATATTAAACATCGTATTTGGGTATTCGGTATCCGACGGCAACATAAATAATAATACGATTATAAACGTTTTCGGGCGTTTAATTAAATTATACCTATTTAGCGCGCGAAACGAAATACGGTCGCTCGTCAATTAATAACGAATACGTTTTTTTTTTTTCTAAACGGAATGTATACGCGATTCGTAATATTGTTAAAATATTCCGAAAATATAATTTCCATTGAAAATGGTACGGGACAGTCATAAAAATAAAGGAAAAACATCAAAAACCGATGTCTCAATTAGCTAGAACAATTTGCTTTAAACAAACGCTTGTAAAAACCGGAGCGCCGTTTTTGGGCGGACGAGTTGTAAAAAGACAGAAAAATACAAATAACAAAAACACACGTCACAATGCTCCATGAGCTTAGGAGTTCAACATCCGCGAATGAATATCCGAGTGCAGCGATGTTTCGTCACTAGAGAGTCGAATTCGACAGAATCTATGTGGTAATATTGCGGTAATAATTCAATACTAAAATGTTATACTATAGATACTTCCGAAACAAAACAGAACGGCGAAATTTGATTGTAAAAAAAATGGTAGAAAGGGGGGGATGGTGTGTGGGTGCGCGGGTTGAAAGTCAAAACCCCCGAATAGGGGCTCATCGTCAATGTTACACGCGCACGCGTCATTTCATTCATCCACTGGCTGTGCGTTTCCGTACGGTGTTCAAAGCTAAAAATCACCCCCGTTCCGCGATTGTACGGTGAAACGTAATGTTTTAATCGAAAACCCGTCTGTCAAACCAATCCAACCGGCCTATAAAACAATTTCAATTCCCCAGTTTGAGCCCGTTTTAGGTGCGACGAGCTACTGTTATAGAAAGTGTTCAAAAGTAACCGAGAATGATAATTGCATTAATTGTATAATCTTATACATTAATACCGGTGGGAATTTTCGCTCGCGCAGCGCAATATCGTATTCCGTCGAATTCCGTTAGCCCCGCCGAACACAAATAGGATTGTTATATTTACAATTCGTTGGCGGTTCCTTTTTATCCTGACGGTTCGGTCGTGGCACCGCGGTCCCTGCTGCGTGGCCTCGGAGCGGTTTACGTACTCCGGCGTTGCCGGCACCGTCACGGTTCTCGGTATGCGGCGGTTACTTATATCGTTTGTGCTGCCACACGCACACGTTTGGAGTCAACGGTTAACTTGGACGGTACGACACGTTCCTTTCAGTCGGGGTCACCTACGGTCTCGCTCTTGTGTGTTTCACGGTGCCATTGTGTTCATACGCGAGCACGTCGCTGAGAATACGACCGCGAGCTATATGACAGCTGTTTAAAATAAGCGTACGAAGCTTATGGAACGACAATCGTTACTATCTTGGCCGGCCTTTTGCGACCAACGCGATTCTTCTCGCGCAAACACCGCATAAACGTATCGACGGTCCGTGAACGCGATAGCTGGTAACGATTTTTATCAGTGACCGCTATAATACAATGCAGTGTAATATTCCTCTATTTTCATGGGAAAACTCGATAAAAATAAATGTACATTTTGTTCTTTTCTTAGGAAAAACGAATCGTAGCAAATTATTTTTACATTTACCGAAAAAAATAAGTAAGAAAACAATGGTTAAGTATTATATAAAATGTACTACGAAAACGTAAAATTAATTTTATTTCGAAAATATTTTACCCGTTTCGTTTTTATAATGCGATAAAAATACTCGTAGTTTTTAACTTGTTTTCTACGCGTAATATCGTTTAATCCTTCACTTCAGTTATTAATTTTTTTTTTTTCTGTTTTTGTTTAACTTATGTTTTTTTTTTTTTTAAATTAATATTGATTTTTTCTGAAAAATTCCGTAAAACTGTTGAAGTACACAAAATAATTCCATTTTGTTTTTATTTTTTGTTTTAATGATTTTATGATTTCCGAAAATGTATATAATTGTTGATTCTGAGTGAAACAAAGCTACTATTCTTTTTACAAGTATGTGGTTTATTTAATCGAAAACCATTTTTCGGTTAGTGAAAACACTCAAAATTATTTGTTTTCTTTACTCTAAAAGTCATTTGAGGATTTTTCGACTAGCGCACATTGAAACTGATCACATAAAAAGCAACAAATCTTGACCAGATCATAAAATTTAAGGATGGTTTTCCAAATAAATTTTGTCTAGTTGGTGTATCGAGATTATTATTTATTTTTTTTATATAATTTGGACAAATCATAAAAAAAAAGACCGTCAAAAATACATAAATATTTACACAATGACGGTTTCAGTTATTTTATATTTTGTTTTTTGTGTTGTTATTTAGTTGAAAATATTTTAGAAAACTGAAAAATTTTCACGGAATATTTATATTAGCTATTTTTAGTAGCGGTAAAGTTTTTTTTAAATATTCTGGCGATTTTTCAAAACTATTTATAGTTATTTAAAATTATGTTCTATTCGTATGAAATTTTCATATGGCGTTGTGGTCATTTACACGAAATGGGGAAAATGTAGGTACACTTTTTTTCACCGATATAAAAGAATTATATTTTGCAGCAAATGGAGCTCTGAAAGACTCGAAAATCAATTTAAATTGTATATCGTTATTACAAAAGAACGAATAATGATAACTTATTGTCACTCATGTTTAAAATGTTAATATTGTAGGTTCAAAAAATAAAAAGAAGTGACGTTCATATAACGGAACTGACATGTTTCTATAGATTCAATAATAATTTGAATTCGGTAAACGTTAAATTTGTGGAGTTATCCCCACATAAAAAAAAAAATCAAAACTATTGAAATGTTGGCATACCCGTTACATTATAATGAACATGATGTGCAGCGGACTTTTGTTACGACTACTGCAATATTATATAAATTTAAGCCACGCCTCGTACTTGAAACCAAACCGATGTCTAATGCAGAATGAACTATTTCATCAATAATTACATATACTAATATGATAAGATAATTGGATTTGGTAAGCGCTGGTTACGCCATCTTTCGAAGCTATCGGTTCCACTGTGTAACGTTACTTTATTTGAACGGTTTTTTTCTAATTTCTAAAAGTTTTTCTAAAAAAAAAAAAAAAAACAGACAACAAATGCCGATACTTGGATTTCTGGGTTACTTGTTTGTTATTAGTGGAGAAATATACGTACAAGATACCATAATAATCTAACCAATTTACCCCGAGCTCCACTCCGGATAGGTTTTCGATTGAAACGATATTCCGTTGTTACTTTCGACTTTCAGCGTTTAAACTAAATTACCTACCCTATATCCTATACTTGCCCAGTATGGTCCAACTACATCGGCTGCCTACTCATGGAGTGAAATATGTCGTCCGCTGAGATGGTTATCAATATTATTTATGACACATACGTATAGACTAATTGCGTATACTAACCTATAGTCAAACGGACTATATTAGTTTTTTATCGTGTGAATGATAAAATCACGGGAGTCAATTTTACAAATGTATACGTATACAGATGTGCCACGGGATTTTCGAAATATTTTCATATAGTCCGTTTGCGTCGTTAAAAATCTCGAATTACGGTGTAGCGATTTCGGTTTAGTGTTTGGTTTTCACTTTTTAAAACTCGGATTACACTATTTTATTTCGCGATTTTTACGTACGTCTCGACGAAGTGATCATAATGTAGGTGAGCAATATGCACAAAACGTTTCGCCTTCACGTCAAAAGAGATAATAACGTGTGCTGTTATAATAACATTATATTTTATACCGTAAAGATCGTGTAATATTAAGCCGAAGACATAAATGTCATAAGAAGTAAACTTACTGACGACGACGACGACAACGCTGTCTCGCGTCTTTTGTCGTAAAAGACATTACAACTAATGTATAAGTATGTTTTTAATGTAAAGTTACATCGTCGTCTTTTGTAAACCTCGTTAAAACAACAACGAACAAAAAAAATACAGGATCCGATTTAATACGCAAACGTTTCAACGGCGAAAAAAAAATATTATAAAACGTTTAGAAGTCAACTGCGATAATGTATACAACCCAAATACAAATACGTAGCGAATTATCTCCGTTTTATTTTTGTAAATAATTTACACTTTCGATTTTTGTCGATTTTTCGTTTTCGTTGTACGCCGCAGCGACAATACACCTTTATTACGGTTTATTTTTTTTTTTGTTTTGCTCCCGTAATACATTATAAATAAAAAAAGAAATTCATGTTCTAAAATTTTTATTGTAACAATATAATGTGCGTAAAAAAAAAAAAAAAAAAAGTAAAAACATGCGTCGTGGTATATCCACTTTTCAACGAAAATATCTTATGTCTCATTTAAAAAAAGGGAACGGAGTGCGAGAATTACTCATCGACAACACTTCAGTCATCGTTTGACAGTACGTAGAGTACGTCTTTGTATATATATTTATATACAATGTATATACTTATACTCTGTTCGACTGAAGAGTTTGAAAAGTAAGAAAATTTCCGTTTAATACTTTCATATTTCGACGGTACCCGCCCCACCCGGTACCTACCTACCGTCTAAAAACCAATACACTTAGTATTCCCGAGAGTACCCACCCCTCCCGCCTGCCCGTCAACCTACCAATCTACCTGTATACTTGTATTTCGTTTTAGTAGAAATTCAATTTTATTTATCCGCACTATAGCTGTAGGTACTTATACACAGAAAAATGTATTTTATATTTATATTAATGATAACGTTTCAGGCTGCAGTGTTTACCGACATTTTTTCTTTCTTTCTTAAAACGCCCATGCATACTTTCAAATGTTAACCGCTCCGTTTCAAAACACACGCGTCAATTATTGTACCGAATGTTCATGAGGGTTTTCGTTCAAAAGTAACGGTTATTGTAATACCATTTTCAACGTTAAATAATTATCGAAATTTTTGAATAATAACTCAACAATTATTTTCCGATTTGATATGTTACATCGTTTACACGCAGAGACGTTGCGCTCATCTGAAAATCGAAACCGTTCCGTGCAAGGGGATAAGAAAGGGGTGCGCCTAGCCGGAAGATCCGCAGTGATTTAAGGGAAACCAAACCGACGGTTTCGACGACTATAAAATGCGTATGTTTGATGGACTTGCAGATGTTTTCGGAATATATAGCGATGCGCACAAACACTATAAAACCGATGTCTTGAAAAGCGTGGAGATTCGCGATTTGCGACTCGTTGACACGTTTTTCTGTATTATTATTTGTCGGTAGGTGCAAAATATCGAGGTATTATATGTTACGTTAGAACTAAAGTAAACAATAGCGATTCACATGTAGAAAGAAATTATACTATGAATGTATTACAGTATAAATCCGAGTTCGTATTACCTATAATCAAATAACAAAGGAAAGATTATGGTACCCGATTAAATCCTCAGCTACGAAGAAACAAGTACCTACTACAACACCTACCTACTTAAATGTATTATGTATTGTATATGCACGATGTGTTGTAGATCGAGTGAAATCATTTTTTTTTATTCTTTTGTCGAATTTCCTCCAAATGTAGATATTTTATCGTGCCAGTTATATTATATACACGTGTTTCTCCCGCTAGTTTGGGACGCTTTAAGCGGCTCCTTCCGGACAAAATGAGCTTAAACTCGTGAATTAATGTTGTTTTATGGATGGATTAAATTTTGATTGACGTCATCGTGTTATTACGGGGTTAGAGTGTATGGTATCGAGGATGTTCCTTTTGGGGGTTTCAACTTCCTTTCCAATCGTTTTAGACCATGAGCGGAGCAAGGAATGTATGGATTTTTTTTTAATACTGTGTACGAAAATTCTATCAGGAATCTTTATCAAGTTGGTACTTTAGAGAGGTTATTTTTAGATTTTTCAAACAGTTTTTGTTTTATGTACCAACCAATGGATGTTTTCAATTCAAATAGAAGTATCAAAAAATCGTCGAAAAATATTATTATTTATTATTTTTTTAGAAACAAAACGATGATGTATAGCGGTGTGTCCAGGAATTTTCAACGGGAGGGTAAATATCATGACTCATGAATAAACCGTTGAATTTTTTTTTGTTATACGTGACTCTGCAATGCGAATTTAAAATCCGAAACCAAAACCGACCTTTTTTTATTCAATAAATTGTACTATTTTTCTCTGTAACTGAGAATAACCCTCCTCTCTCCGACCCACCCTATTGATGATATAGTTAAATGTCGATATTCAATTCGAGATGAAAAAGTTTAATATAATATTTGAAAATTGTGAGCTGTGCGTTCAGGACGTAGATATTTATAGGATGCCCTACAAAGATATACCCATTGTAATATCTCCGGAGATAACAAAATTATGTTTTTTTTAAACTACTCATAGGGATAAGGACTACAAATATTTATGTTTTAACACATTTTTTATGTTTTTAGTAAAAAACTAAAAAAAAAAACTTTTTATTTTATAAGAATTTTAAGATAACCATTTTATTGAATTTACACCTCTGAAAATTTTGATATATCATCTTTTTATTTTTATTAAATTCGTGATTTTTAAGCCTAGAGAAAAAAGTGTACATACGATTAATAATTAGCCATAAAAAATCATAAAGCGAATACGATTACAACTTGCTGCATAGATAATTTTCACTGAACTTTAAAAAATTAATAAAAATCACGAGTTTAATGTAAACAAAAAGTTGAAACGCTAATTATTCAGAATAATCTTAAAATTGTTCGAATATAATATAATACAAATGATTGTTTTAGTTTTTAAATTGGATTCAAACAAACATATTTGCAGTCTTTATCTTTACAATAGTTATACATATATATATATAAAAAAATTAAACAGAATTTGATTACCTTTATTACTTCAGAAAATATTGAATGGGTATACATTCGTGGAACACTCTATATGTACATTCATAATTCGAACAAACCGATGGAATATTATTTATAGATTTATTACAATTTTTTTGATTATTTTATTGTATTTACTTAAATCGTCTCATATACCTATCTACCGAAACCTATTTACTAATCTATCCACGTTTGGTTCAATTGCAATATTCGTATTTGCGCTTAAAGTTTCCGTAAGTTTTTTAAAAGGAATAAAAAAAAGTCTACAGAAACTTTCTATAGATGCACATATGCACTATACACAACAAAGAATAATATTCAATAATAGACTCATAATAAGATTTAAGTTCCATCGTGTATATAAAAGACCATGCGAAAACCCTGTAAAAGTATATGACTTGTTATATTACATACAAAAAAAAAAATAATAATCCATTATACTGATCATACGAGTATATATATGGCGACATTTCTTTCAACAAAATTGTGCGTCTGTCATAATGACGAACCATTGAATTTTTATTTCACCCTTTTATCCCAAGAAATTTTTTTTCGTAATAAAAAAAAAAAAGTCAATTATTTTTTTTTCCGTTTCAAAATATATCAGATACTAGACATTATTGTGTTATCTACGTTGAGCAGTTTGTTTTCAAATAGGAAATGCATTTTTTTTTATTAATAATAAATATAACGAAAACAACTCCAACTTTCTATGTGTGAAAATAAAATAATCAAATCTCGTTCGATTGAATTCGAATAAGTATTTATTCTTTTATCTTTAAAGTTCTGTGTACACATCAGGTACTTGTGGGTACGCATAAATTATAATAATAATTATGCATAGGTATACAAAATAAATTGTGTAAATTTAAATTTTAGTAGTGGACTGCGTTATTAAAGCTCGAAATTCTTATTCTTGTTATTATAATAATTATTATTTTTTTTTACGATTTCAAAGTTTGTAATTAAAAATATCATTATTTATTGAATATTTACATTGTAAAAAAATAAGAAGAAAAATATTTCGCGTAGCCTTTAGTTGATGAAAACATCAAAAACACAACTATACGTATACATATATATATGATATATGCACGTTAAACGTTAAAAGGGATATGGAAAAAGAAAGGCCGTACGAATTTTAATTACCGTTGCGATTATTTATAATACCTTCAAACGTACAAATTTATTAATTTTCGAAAAATCGACCGGATTCTAAAATCAACGTTCCTATATTATATTTGCCTACGGAATTCCATTAAAATCGCTTTTGTCGAATTAAGTAAACGCGTTGCAAAACGTTTGATCGTTTCCACGTTTGAACTCGATTCGAATATACAGGTCGGTTTATTTATTAAGAATCGGCGATTTTCTCAGAGGATTTTATGCGTAAGTGAATTTGTTTTCTGTGTTTTTTTTTTTTGTTGTTGTTTTTTCAATCATTATACTTTATTTTATACATTTTTGATTTTAAAACATTTTACATTTTAAACACAGCTGCGAATGGCGAATAACTTTCTAAACATTGTGACGCACAATAAGGCTAACATATCGGATTTACCGTTTATAAATATTATATATTAACAGTGTGAAGTTTAGACCGGTGGATGGAGTAGTAGGGAAGAGTTATCAATTTATCATAAAATTTAACCCCATCATTGGTAGTTGTTGCATTTTTTACAGTGTGGCTAAAACGGTTTTTTTCAGTATTAAAAATCATGTTTGTCTTACGTTTTTATTATAAAAAAGTTCTTAAGAAGTTAGTTTAAACAACGGCCTAAGATTAATTATTATCGCAATGATAAAAGACAAATCATTCCAACTATTTAAATCAATATTGTAATAACTAGTCCCGCTCCCCAAACGTATGCATCTATTAGAATTATATCGAAAAATGTTCCATGCAGTATTGACAACAATTTTTATTGTGTAGAGAAAAATATATCGGTCAACGAGTAACTTGTTCTACACGCATTTCTCGCTTAATAATCTCTCGTTTCGACCCTGTGTTACATTATTATTCTTGTACGTCTACTTACAGTAGACCTACCTACTATATATTATTACTATTACTATTATACTCGTCGCGGTTTCGCAGTCATATTTTCATCATCCTCTTCTCAAGTGTGGGCAATATCTCCAGGACGGCTCTCATTTATCATGTCGTCATTCTTCTCTTATCATTTCCGTCACTCGTCACTCGCTCTTAACGTCTTGTTTTCCTGAGTTTGCGCGAAATTTCCGCGCCCGACCTCCACCGCCGTATTATATTATGCTGATTGTTGTCTATATTTACCGCGTTATTCCTAAATAATATCACGGAGAAACGACATTTATTTTATATGATATCATTGCGTGACAATCAGAGCCGTGCTCAGGGTGGAGGCGAGCAGGTCCCGGACCTGGGCCTCGCGTTTGAGAAAAAATACGAACTATAGTATAATAAAATATAAAAATACTTAAAATTTCACCCTGGGCCTCGAAAGTCCTAAGGACGAGCATAGTGACGATCATTATCTCGTTCTACTATGCTAATATACTATACTAAATTTTGGATTAGATTTTCAAATTTATTTGCGTTTTATCGATATTATTTATATCGTGGTATGTCGCGGATTGTTTCTAACAAGAAAGGTAAAATTATTAGAGGGGCAATAATAACTTGTGAATTTGATTTTTTTTCCTCTGTATAATTTTACAAAGTTATTAATATTAATCCTCACAGTCAAATTTCTCTAAAGATTTTTTACCGGGAGATAATTATTTACCAGCGAAATTGTTCACTCCTATAATTTATCGAAGGTGTATATGTGTAGCTTTGTTTATTGACATTTTTCCGTCAACGCTGGTTTCAAGATTTTTTTTTATTTATGAAAAATATTAATAAAAACACAATTTTTATATTATTTTAGAATATTATTTTTCACTTTGTGAATACTAAATTGTTTTTTTTTTTTTTTTTTTTTGCACAAAAAATATACATAATAATCAAATTACTCACCCTGAGTGAACAGTTACTATGAAAATGTAGGCATATTTTTGGTTTTGAGTATTATAAAAATTGCTTTTTATGGCAAATACCTCAAATTTTTCATGTAGTACCTCAAAAGATGCGAGAATTCTATCGTGTCATAATTTATTCGACACATTTATTGAAGTTCAGCAGTTCAACTCTGGGGATTTTTCGGTGTTTGATTTTTGTCGATTTCAGCATAGTTAACTTGATAACAAACGTTAACAAATACGACCAAGGAGCTAAGCTTATTTCGCTCAAAATCGGTGTAATCGTTAGACACACAGTATATAAACTTAACTACGAGCCTATGTACGTTCCAAACTATATCTACTTACGACCGCAGTGACCTACTAGCGAGCAATATTGACGTTAAAAAAAAAAAAAGTCTAAAAATAGTGTCGTATTTCCAGTTATTTAAGTAATTTTTCGCTTAAAAATTACTGCTGTATCTCTTGGTTATTACTATGTATTTGTATTAAAATATATTTCAGTTATTTGATTCACCTCTCCTCTCCACACGTCGGTTATTATCGTTGTCTCGTTTAATTGTTTTAGCAATGGTAAAATTCGCAAATATTGTACACATTCGCATATATTATAATAATTATAATAACCGAAAGGAGTCGGCGGGTTTCGTATATGCGTTTCCGAATAATAGTCGGAATATAATATATCCGCAATGTACACAATTCTATAATAACCGTGGTTGTTGATTCACCTGTATATTATTTAATTACTCGAGCATGTTATCGTCATAAATTAACAATAATGTATTATGGCAATCAAACAACGAACAATTTAAATATATTAATGATTTGAAATGCATTGACGGATTCGGCAACATACGAAGTTAATACATTATAGTCCTCTGTTGGCGTACGAGTATATCGGCACTGTAGTCGTGAGACATAAAGCCCGACAGTCCGAATTATCTGAAAATAAGGATTTCAAAATTTATAATTATGATTAGTTTTTGAATTTTATGAGAAACATCTGAAAGAATCGAAAATCTCAATTTCAAATACATATTCGGCTTTCGAAAATCTAGATTATTAAACTTCTGTGATTTTGGATTTTTCTCCACCAGTAATCGACGCATTCAGGGCTAACCTAAATATACAGGAATGCGTAACAACAACATAATTTGAAAGAAAAATGTTTGAGAATTATGTTATTATCAGTGAATAAATTAAAACTCTTTTTAAAAATGTATAGTGTTTTTCATCTCAGTGAACTTGTGTACAGTGTACACTATACGCTATCAGTGATACCATACACCCGGTATTACAATATAAAAAGGTGCATAATATTTTTATTAGCTTTTTATTCTCCTGAAACAAAGTGTAAATCTTCACAATACTATTATTTTTTGTCCATTAATTTTATTTGCAATTTTCTATAGAACTATTGGTATGCGAAACTAAAAACTATGGTTGGACTTGAAGCGGTGCAATTTAAAGCGTGTGGATCTGTAATCCAGGATGTGACCCTGTATCATATATTATAAAATATTTATCGAATATATCATGACGCCGTCAGAATCAACGGTGTCGTTTTTTTGTCCTCGTGTAGATAATGTATCATTACACCGGAATATGGAATTTACGTTATTTACTTCACCGATGGATGGTATGCGATAGTAGATAAAAAGTGTACACGAGTGCAGTCAGACGGCAAAAAGCTATAAAATCTTATCGCTATTTTCGTCAACTCTGTGCTATATTAAAATAATTAATCAAGAACATACGAGTGTTTGATATTAAAACAAAACTCTCCTATAATAATAAACCTAACTTAATTTCATACTTATTTACTTAATATAACATACTAGACAGTGTATTTTATAATAACAAGTTATTTTATAATTACATACCATATATATACACCAATCGTATTATTATCAATATCCAATTATATATTCTCTAGAAATTTATTTGAACACAAAGTTCTGACATCACAATGTCCATAAAACTTAAAAAAATAAGTTCAAAAAATCTCTACTCTGACTTGTTAGACAGTTGTAGGAAATCTAAAAAAAAATATTAAACTTATATATTCTTAGTTTCGAGTTTACATGATCAACATCACAGTCAGATGACGAGTAACATTGTACGGAAAAATTATAATGAAAACTTCAATAAAAATATAAAAATAAAAAAAAGAAAATCGTTTTTAATAGTTTTGTACAAACAGATATTTTTTCAAAAGACTTATTTGCCGACGCCGAGTTTTCTATGCGATATATGGGGTTTTTTTTTTATAACTGATTACAAGAAAAATACAAGGAAAATCAAAAAATTAACCTTTAGATAAAAACCCCTCGTTACACTAACCACCACTTTAGATTAAAATTTTACAATTTAGTACGTGTTAAGTATAGACACTTGACCGGTGGTTCATGGACTCCTCAAACTTGAACATGAACCTTTAAAAAATAATATCGCTTTATGCAGTTTCATATTATAAATACAAATTTGTGAACACCTCGACGTACATATAAATTCGTTTGGCAATTATTTCGGTTCTACATACTCAATAGTGGAAATATGGATACTTAATCTTTTTCTCGGAGACTTGAATACTATTATAATGATTCAGACTTTGTTAAAAACGAATTAATTGATTTAATATCAAAAGAAATGGCGCACCGCGATTTTCAAACAAAAAATATAATCGAATTTGCATGTATATTGACGAAGGTTTATCCGTGAGCTGTATACCAGTGCAAGGGAATTTTTTTATTCAATTTGCTAATACATATTTCTGTGAGTTTGGATTCTTTTCAGCGATCGTAATTAAAATGGAATTAAGAAACCGATTGGACGTAACGGACGATGTGCAAATTGTCCTGAAACACGGTTTCGGATTTTAACGAAATAACACAATCAAAATGACGTCAAATGTCACACCGATACTCGTGTGTATAATAAATATATTATTATTTACAATAATTGAATAATGTATTATTTATATTTTGGTTTCGTGATTTCGTGATTATCAAGAAATGTTTAAAAGTATGTTTTAATTTTTTTTTTTTTTTTAAGATTCAAGTTCAAGAATCTTTAAAGGTATAAAGTTTTTGATGGAAGCAAGATTTCTGGCGGAAAATTTGTTTAATGAAACGAAAAAAAATAAAAAACATCTCGCGCGGTTTTATAGCTGCAAGGTAGCCGGCCGCAAGATAAAAATAATTACCTACGTTTTTACAATACAGTTTACCACGCTTTTAAAAACGGTCCACCGATTCGGTTTAATCGGCCTAACGTTCAGTGATTATTAAGTATTAATTCGTTTCGACTGTATAGTAAGTGCATAATACACGATAATAATAATAATATAGGTGCACGCGTTGTTTTCGCGCGCCCTTTAACAATTCACAACACTATCAGAGACCTGCAGAAACGAGTCGACCGTACGTTCAAAGGCCGCGGCGACGGCGGTAAAGTTCGGAAGTTTCGGCTTAATTGCCCGGCCTTTATTCCGCGTTAATATCACGCGTGGTCGATTATACCCGAGAGTGAACATAATAATGATTTCGCGTACGTATTTTCCACCCGTAAATTATAATATTACTCGCTCTTCGCGAGCAATTTGCGCGCGTTTTTTTTTTCGGTATACTAGATACTGCTCGTTGAAACGTTGAAACCGCGGGTCTATAGTATTTACGTCTTAATGTCAATAATTGTCGTCCGACTAACTAGTTTGCGGAGAAAAAAAAAATAAATATTATTCTCGATATTTTTCCAACCGTTCTCGTACCTGCGTATACCGCCCGTGAAAATCTTATTTCATTAAAAAAAAAAAATAAAAAAAAAATAATAATAAAAAAATCCACAGAGAATAAAATGACGGAATGCCATCGCGGCACACGCTTAAAAAACTACAGAGCAAGCGCACGCACACGATCGAGAATAATTAAAAAAAAAAAAAAAAAAAAAAAACGACCTGTACAAACATAATATCTTTTGTCAAACGTCCGTTACTGACAGGTAATTACGAAAAAAACGAACATAATTTAGGCGTGTTTTTTCGTATATAATATAAATATATTTTTTTTTCTTCGTAATATGACCTAAAAGTATTGCATAGTAAATTATTATTTTTATGTTATGTTATTATTTTCTGTTGGACTCGAAAATAATAGACGACGTCGGGTCTATGAACGAATTTCGGCCGAGTTTAACGTCAATATTGCGGGGTGAACGTTATTATTATTATACGAAACGCTCGTGCTCGGTGTTCATATCTGATGGAGAAACCACTTTGAACTGATTTCCGCTTAAAACTCAGGTACCCACATACCGTATAACATTATTATTACTATCGATCGACCCCCACCGGGAAAAAAAAATATACGATCGATTGTGTAAATACAAATTTATATTACATTATACAATAAAGAGTGCGTATATAGACGAGAGCATCGGAGAAAGACCATAATGGCTTTTACTCGGCCGTAGGACAATGAAAAGACAATAAGGAGACTCCTTCAGAGCAGCGCCGAGAGAACGAAAACCTCGGGGCGAAAGACCGCGTGGAAGGCCTCGTGGAAAATGCGGACGGACGTGGTCGAAAGACTTAAGGAAGAACGGGAGCGGATGAATGCAAAAAAAGAGACAATTCACGATGGGGATAGATCGCGCAATGTCGTATCAGCGGTGAAAACTGAAAGACTGAGAGAGATAGAGAGAATTTCCAAGTCAAAAAGAAGAAGAAGAAGATACGGAGCGTACAGTGTTCCGCTTTCCAATGTCAATGCAAAATTATTCAGCTTAGCGAACTTGAATGAATTTTTTTCAGAAAGACGTAGCAATCAAATGTACACGTTTGGAGTAGGATTTCAAAATGTCGACTCTTCTAAACTTATTGTTTTCGAAAAACGAAAACTCCTGTTTTGTTATAATGACGAATTCGAGTAGCCCTATAGTTTTTTTGACTGATCGAATTCAGTCTCGAACTATGAAATTTTGAAGGAGAGGGGGGGTAGGTTAAAAAGGGAAAAAATGTGACTATACTGTAAGGTTAGGTATGTAACAATAATTTAAAGTAGTTATAAGACAATATTAAGCAATATGCATTTTTAATTAGTGTGATTAGTCAAAGTCGCTTAACCTAGAACAGGATTATTCAGATTTGATGTTTCTGTTTGAGAAAATATAAGTTTCAATGCGCGTGCGTCCTATTTTAGTGCCTTATCTTGCTCGACCCTTACATTGTGTTAACGTTTGAACAAAATATACTGTACACGTTATAAAGACCAAATCGCCAAAGCCGTTTTTATGAACGCACATTAAATAATATTCTAAATAGTTGGCGTGTCGACGTCTACGGTGGCGGATTATTATCGCGTTCATCGATACAGAAACTATACCATTGCACCCTTTACTCACTCGCCCGTCGCCGTATCGTCGTCATTCCGGGCTTCCGTGATTTTATCTCAACGTCGTCGTCGTATGCACGCAAAGGGCCGAAGAACCCGTCGATCGAGGGGGTGTATAGAAGGGGTAAAAAGAAGTTTGAGTCTATTTGCCAAACGCGAGAGTCACCAGCGACGCCGCCGCTGCCCCCGACGTCGCTTGATGAATTATACTATCCCGTCACCGTGGCCTTTGTAAAAGTAGACACACGCGCGTATACAAAATAGCCTTTAACCTGTAGTAAGGTTTAGGTAGGTATTATATACCGTGCCGATGAAAAAGTGTGGGATGAAGTAGAGAAGTAAAGAGGGAGAACGCTTTCAAAGCCCCCTCCTCACGTAATATTTGTTAGGCTCGTGATGCCACCACGACGGTTTCGAGCATATAATAAAATTGTGTTTAAGTGATTTTTTACTTGCATATTTTTCAGTCATTTTTCATTTTTTGTCGAATTTTTTTGCCTCAATTGAATTGTATTGCGTCTGTTATTTAATATCTTTTTCACATATTTTTGGACATTTCTAGCGAAACTTGAACCTGAACCAAATGAGCTTAATCACTGAAATTAGTTTTTATAGGCGAATTAATGCGATAGAAGTTGTAATGAATTTAATAAAAGATAACCTATATATATTGCGATATATATATATAGGTTAATATATATCGATATTGCGATCGGAGGGTGTTTTTTAGAATTGTAAACCCCAATGAAGGATAAAAAAACCAGTTCTTATTATACCCTCTTTCATCTATGTACGTAACATCTGTGGGAAAACGAAAATTAGAATTGGAAGAAAAAAATACGAAAAACAGAAAAATAGATTATTTGTCAAAGATAATCTCCATTAAAGAGGAGCATATGCATTTGTTAGAGAGAGAACACAAAGTTACGAGAAAATATTTTTAAAAGAAATGGTGAAATTTGGATAGAGATAATTTTTACCGAATTTCCGCTTTTACTGGTAATAGTAAAGACAATTATTCATACGTTGGAGTACTTGTAGAAAAAGACGAGACCAAAAGTGTATACTTCTTAAAAGGCTGTTTTAAAATGTTTTGATAAATATTTATAACACTAGAGAAAAACTTAAAGAAGAAGGATACGTTTTAATTTAGTTATTATTAACGACATAAAATTATTAGTTCTTCTGACAGAAGAAACTATTATAACATTTAATACTAAAGGAGTAACTACATTTAATGGCAATTCGTTCGCGATGGTGGAAAATGTTCAATTTTCTCGGATATACCACGAGATATAGTTGATTTACCTTTTAATCAAAACTATATACAGCAAATCGTAGAAATAATGTAGCGCAATGCTTAAAAGTAGTTGAAAGTATAGTAAGGTAATACATTTTTACCTATATGATCATGATCGTGCTCATAGTTGGGCGGCCATGTATTAGGTATAGCTCGTGGCTACTGTTCCTACTCCTGGTCATGGGTTAGAACCGCTCTTTTTATACTTTTCCTCTACATACTAACCAAATTTCAGAATCTCGTACATGTATGACATTAGTATGAATGATCTCCTTTTAGAGGTTTTGACATTCATCCTGCAATTCCAACATTTTTTGGAAATAGTATTATTATAGTATTTGTTAAAGAATAACATAACTATTCTACAAATATGTAGAGAGAAATTGAATTCTAAAGATAGAGCTCTGCTACTTACGGATGATTCTTAGATTCTGAGTAGAGCAAAGAAGCTTATGGTTTTACAAAGATGTTTATTTTTTTTTTGTGGACAACTTCTTTACTAACAATTTATAATAAAGAAATGTTTCTAAAAGAAAATTTAACTGGGGATGTAATTTAGAGAGGTTTTTTTTTTGATTTTTTCAGAAGTTTTCTAATTAAATGATAAAAACCAGGAAACAACATGAGAAAATCGAGAAAAATGTAGGGAAAACGGTTAAATCGGTACATTAAACAAATATTATTAAAAAAAATATATAATGTCTATTTTATAGTTTTACTATAATATGGCAAATATATTGTTAACAAAGCAACACTATTAACTGAACTCAGCTCAGAATTGTTTTTTCGTTAGCAAGGATTTATTGTTGCTTACAGGTATACATTAAATAACTTATAACAGTTGCTGCAATCGACCCCACTATTCTAGGACGCTTATTTTTTCTTAGATAAGGCCAATAGTCACAGTAGATGGGTTCAGATTTACACGTTTAATCAGTCAGCTCTTTGAGGTTCTGTAGTTCCTTCTTCCAACGAAGAAAAAGGCTACTGTTGCAGTATATTGTACTATATAATTGGTTGCGCATGAAATGTTTCACGACTGGGTTGGTGACTGTTTAGCGTTGTAGCAATGCAGTTATTTTCTTTATTTTTTTTTTTTTTTTTTTTTTTTTGTAAACCAGAATATCCTTGGGAATTTTTTTTCGAACTTAACAACAGCCGCATTGCCGAAGCGCACTTATTCACCGTAATAATATTTTACCTAGTGGTTGAAATAATTGTTTTAATTTTCATTAATGGATAAATATAAACGCTTATAAAATATATAGTTCATCGTTTTGGTCAGAATATTTATAAAACAAAAAATATCATGTAGTAATATGTCATTTTTCACATTGTCTTTTTATTCCATCCCAAATTTATGTAAACCATAACCCTGACACCGTGGCCATAAAATTATATTCTATATAACCCTATTAAAATCCTGCAACTTTTAGAACAACTTTTGTAATATTCGATCGTGGTCGAACTTTAAATTTGTTCTTGTTGTAAAATCCGTTTTATGAAACCGTGAAAATGATACGAACGGTAGAATGACGATACAGCACTTTTATCATTCTTCTACACGTGAATGTACACTTTTTATCTACCTGGTACGCCGTTATAAACGTATTGTTCGTACCGTCCTCCAGATCATTTAGCATTGAGGTTTAAATAGATGAATACAATAACGTACAACACATCAATACATAGTTTTAATTCTAGTTCAAAATTTAAAGATATTAATAGCTATGGGTGTTTACAGAATGTTAAGAATTTAAAATTCACTGTTAAACAAATGTTCTTTCTTTTCTAGATAAAATACAAATATCTATAATTTTGCATTAGATGATTTAAACATATTTTATGATCATTATCTTTGTCTGATTTGGAGCAATTATATTCGTTCATATCTATCAACATTAGATAACCATTACTTATCTGTATTTTAAAAGCACTAAATATACGACACACCTAAAAAGTATTATAATATTATCGTGTTCGGTACCCTAAAAAAAAAAACAAAAAAAAAAAATAAATTTTGTAAACGGGTTAATATATTTTGGTGACGTAGAATATTTAAAAATATAATCGTTTCACGCACGCAGATTTATTATGTTCACAAAGTATAACGTTACTGTCACCAACAAGTACCCCGTATTATTAAATTATATTTTATAATATTATACATATTTTCGTTTCGATATTACCATGTGTATATAGTTTATAAGTTCCCAGAAATATGAAAATATCAATTTGAAAATAAAAAAAAAAAACCAATTAACTGCGTTTTAAAAACTTTTAGTTGGGAGGAAAAAATAAAATAAAAAAAATATGTTGATATACCTATCAACATATTTTTTGGTACTACCAAAAAAAAAAAAGAAAAAAGAATATCGTTAGTTACATATCGCGGATCCTTTAAAAATATATATAAATTATATACTCATATATCCTACCGATACTGCCACGGGATTTGTCCATGTTTAAATTTTTTAAAAAAGAGAACCGCATGTTTTACATAATATCAAATATTATATTTGTCCCTTCGAATCGGTTAACAATAAAATATTACGGCGCCGTTGAAATGATCGATAAACTTAAGCGGTCTTTTGTTTCGTGCAGTTCAAAAAGTTTCAACGCGCGATATTGTATCGCGCGTAGAGGTTTTTTTTCCACCAAAAGGCATTTGTTAGGTTATGGATTAGTATTATATTGTTTGGTAGACGCGCGCGTTATACACTCTTACCGTTCGCAAATTCGACTCGCAGGAATAATATACGAATTTATCTTTCGATCTTATAGTTCTATTTTTCGTAACAATTTCAATATTACCGCGTGTTTTCAATAAGCAACGTTCGCAATTATATATTCAGCCGTCTTCAACGGCACTACAGATGGAAACTCACGAAAACGCGACGATTTTCACGAACTCGTGGGTGACTATGCCCACCAACATCCCGTTCGAATGTCGAATTAATAATTTATTACTATTGATACGTAAAATTGGCAATCTATTAGTGTTTCAATCAAATTAAAATCCCATATTATGTCTTCTAAACACGGCCAATCATAATGTCGCGATTACCGACCGAATGACATTGGATATAATGTATTGGGAAGGTAATAAATTGCAATTTTTAACCTTTTTAGTGAATACATGCGCAATACAAATTAATTATTTTTTTTTTTTTAATGAAAATATCGGGTTTTTTACACTAGATTACAAAGTTCTAATTTTTTCAACCAACTTTGATCTATATCATTTTTTTTTTGTCTCATTAATTACTTGAGATACCGTTTAATGTTAAAAATATATGATTTTAAAAAAAATGTACTATGTATGTAATTATGTATTTTTACAAATCATTTTGTCTCCATAACAAAGAAGTAAAAATTTTTTGTTTTTAAAATCATACTATATAATTTTTTTTAAAACTAGATAAAAAAAGTAATTTTTAATTACCAACTTTAGATGGTTGTCCTTGAGGTAATTTTAAAGATAAAATTAAATTATACGGATTAAAGTTGCTTTAAAAAACATAATTATTTGAATTAAATCTCGAAAAAAGTTGTTACCTTGAAAAATAAATAATATTACGCGTGAATTACTTACGAAGGGTTGAACAAATTGACGCTTATCCTAAATTATGCATTTCAGTACATCCTATCACCTAATTAAAACGAGATTTAAATCCAGGTCAAAATATAGTGTTACTCAGAAACGTAATCATACTTTTTTACGTATCAGCGTTGATACTTATCTAGACAAATGTATCTAGATAATATTTATTTTATCTTATATAGATGGAAACAGTGATATCTATCTGAGTTATCGTACATAAAAAAATCATTATCTTTTTACAAATCTAGATAAATAAACTTAAAAAAAAAAAAAATGTTTGATTTATTGTAGAAATTTTTAAATAGCTATATAATAATATTTGTTTTAAATTAAACAATTGAAGTTGGTTGCTAGTGATTTATGTCATTTGTATTTACCGGATTATTGTTTCTGTTTAAATACACAAATTCCTATCTACAATAAATACTATAATATTGTTCCACTTTCTCTCTCTCTCTGTTTTCAATCCGAAGATTGGTTTGAAACCACTTTCTACTCTTCTCTATAATCCGCGCGCTTTCCTTATCATTTGCATGTATGAATCGCATTCTTGGTCCTTTATTAGCTGTTGGATGTATTCTAATCTTGGAAAATCTCTATGATTCTTTCCTTTCACAATTAATTTTATTGATTATTCATAACAATAATATTCTCAACAATCAACAATGAAAAATTTTTATCTACACAAATTTAATTGTCTTATTTGAGATCATTTAAATATCTGTTATCTTTTTTCATATCTACATCAATTTGGATTAATTTATTTTTATCTTTATCTAGATAAATTTTACTTATACACGTCTCAACATCGGTGTACGAATAAATATATTATCTTTCTTTTAATAATAGCTGAAAACCGCAAATACAAAATACATAATAATGTGTAATATCAAAATTCATAGTATGCATTTACGACGGAAAATATAACCTTGGATTACATTAACCCATATATATATATATATATTGATTTATTATTTGTGTATAAGAGAGTTTAATATGCGATAACAATTTCGTTTAAATGTATATTTTCGAATGTTATCGTCAATTTAATATATTTTTTTTTTATTAAAAAAATATGCATATAGGTATCATAAAAATCATAAAGATTTCGAAGCATTGGACGATTTACAATTTTTATGTTTTCGGATGACATTTTTTTATTATAATAGAGTAAAATTCGGAAAATATAATAAATGATAGGCAGTTTGTCTCTTACGTAGAAATAATAAGTGTCGATACCTACGCATAAACGCACAAAAAAAAAAAAAAACAACAAGAAAGCCTATAGAGAGTGAATATAACTAAGTGTGTGCAAGTGTGTGTGTGTGTGCGTATTATTTTTAAAAATATTCAAATATCATTTTACACGTCAATATTGCGAGAAAAATTACTTTTTGATTTTTTCACGCACGTAATCCTATACGATATCTATAATATATAATTATAAAACATTTTTTTGTTATAAGTATGAAATAAAAATAAAAAGTGTTTCTCGTCAAATTGCTTTTGGCACATCATTATACGGTTATATTTTTTATTTAATCCTCTTTTAATACGAATGATGATATAAAACTCAATAATTTCAGAAAACGAGTATTGTATGTTCATGGTTTACGTTTCTGTATTATAATTAATATATCTACCAGAATACAAAATGCACAACAAAAATTACGTGTTTTACATTAAATTTCATTTGAAATCATTCATAAATCGATACAATATTTAAATATCAAACGAAATAAATAGATATTTAATTTAAGTTTAAAACTAACGCTCGATATTCGGACGATAAAATTATTTAAAATACACAGAAATTTCGAATATACCTACGAGCAGCGGCGTCATTTCAACCATGTTTGGTACACAAGGGAAAACTTACCAAATTTACACACTAATACTAGGATATAGAAATTATCTATCTAGAAAAAAAAAAATTCAGTGCGCTCAAAAAAGGTTCGAATTTGCATAATGTGTATGTACATGTAAATTGCCGTGAAAATTTCTAATTGTTAACGCGGACGCGAGGTTGTATATTCGAATAAAAGACGTTTGTTACGAAACATTTTTGTCGGTATTTCTACAGTTTTTTCACGTCCAGGTGGGGAGGGGGCAGCCAATAATTCGACGAGGCTAATTTAATGCGTTTTTTTTTTTTTTTTACAAAAATTACAAATTTCCACGTTCGTCAAATCGAGATTATAATAGTATTTTCGTTGCGAGCGAACCCGTGAGTCGTAAATAATGTCGATCACTGCAATGTCGTCGTCGATTCGGATGCCCCGTGTAAGTAGTGCAAGAGCGTATTAGTATTTCAGCGGGCGGGCGAGTATTTTAATTTAATTTGTGATGTCGAAGGAACCGCTGCCACGCCGTATACGTTGTATACGAGTTTTAAGAGAAGTGATTGAAAAATCTCTTTTCGGTATAAAACGAGTTATGTTCTGTGTGCATGTTATACATATATATATATTGTACACAAATGTAATTATTAGTTACTCTAAAATATACCCCAATACGATGTATCAAGACGTTTCAAAAGAAATTCTGTTGACATTTTCGAATATAATTCTCTGTTATGATGTGAACACAAAACACCGATCGTGTGCGAGCAATTATTTCCATAATTGCGGACAGATTTTTATTTTTAATATTAAAGCTACTCGTGGAAGAAAAATCTAACTTAAGCTTTTCATTAGATAAAAATATACTATGACTGAGTGTGGCGGGAGGGGATGGGTTAACGGGATGACCTTAATCGTACATAATCAGGTCATATAATATATAATAACGAATGAACGAATCCTATACCTACGTAATTTCATATCAATTTATAATCAACTATCAATGCAATCTGTATTATTTGTATACGAGCAATAGTATAGTGCAATATTGAGCATTATGAATTATAATTTATTTTTTACGTTCTCAAGTCATTAAAAAAAAAAAAAAAAGACTAACAATTTTCAATATTATTAACGATAAAAAAAAAAAGTATGATATTAATTTTATTCGTGTCGTTATCAGGGAGTTTGCAATTAAATTAAGCATAAAATGCCAACTAAAAATAACTTTATTATAAATAGTACATAATCTAATGTATTTTTTTTTTATTATTTGTCAACTTGATTACGTATAATAACATAACTGCTTGTATATTAATTTTTTATTGTAAATCATAAACAGTAAAAATATAAACCGTAGACGATCATCGCGAGCAATTAAATCGGCACGATATTTATGAAGGTTATTAAAAAAAAAAAAAGTGCATTTGATATTTAAATTAGAATTTCGGTTTTTGAAAAAATGATAATCCATTCTCGGCGGGAGGGAAGTGGGTAAACTATGATTTTCAAATAAATTCGTCGACACGTATTTTGAGTTTTTAGTTGATTTCTTACGAGATGTAGCGTTTAAATATTGACAAAGTGTATTAAAAATAATAACAAAGGGACTACCCGTAGTTTTACTGGATTACGGTTGCCAGTGTTAACCACACGCAAAGAAATAATTAATAAGGAAGAAAAAACTTTTATTTTTTGATCTTGTGTTACTCTAGAATTATAATTGTCACCGCGATTCCGATTTTTTCATCGATTTCTCGAGTTATAAAACAATTCAGCTAAGATTAAAAAAAAAAAAAATAATTGTAATCATAATCCTCGGAAAAGGCTTTGATGTTAAGAAATTATTAATTTTATCGAACGAATGGGATTCGGAAATCTTTCGGTAAACTACGGTTGTGTTTTTGGACAAATATAATACAATTAAAGAAAACAACGTCGGAAAAACGAAACAATTTATTCAAAAACGATTTTTGTTTTTGTTTTTCACTAAAACTTATCTTCGGCAGCTTCGGACATTGGAGTTAAGAGAATACAATATGCAGTATTTCAAATTTAACAATAAATATGTTATATTAAAGTAAACATATTTTCACAAAAGTATTGGATATTTTGTGATATTAAAATAGGTGGATTGTAAGATTTGGACTGAAGATATTTTTTTTTTTGTTCTTCGTTTACAAACGATAGTGAAGACGTGCGATTTTTAGAGATTACTTAAATTTAGCCTTATCTAAACGCATTAGATTAGGTTTAACGTTCAAACACTTTATAAAAATTGAATTCGAATGATTCCGGTTACAGGCCCAAGTCGCTGTACCGAAGTAACGTTCACTTACAACGGTATACTGTTCGGGCGAGAATTTCAATCGTATAGAACGATCGGAAACGTGTATGGCAAGACCGTAGAACTATATAATATTATCGGCTGCGAAGCGGTCGAAAACTTGTAAACTTTCGGGTGAAACGATAATATTTAGGGTATATCGAATATTTTGTTATTATTATTATTATTATTATTATTATCATTAATTATTTAATCCTCGTCGTGGATATACGCGTGTTATTATTGTTGATTAGGCTTCGCCGCCAAGCCGAAAGGGGGAATTATAATATTGTTTTTAATCAAAATTCGGTCCGAAATTCAAATCGGCTTAATGAGAATTCCCTTAAACCCGAAATGTGAAAATGTTTGTCAGCGTGACCGTCCTATACATAATATTATGCAGTACACACACAAACCTGTACATTTACACATATATACATACATATGTGTGTATATATATATATATATGTATATATATATATATATACGTGGTTTGAATTTGCCACACGGAGCCTAATATTATAACAGAGGAATTAGAATGTTTATTAAATTGTCGGTAAATTACGGGCGGAGGCGTCAGAAACGATTACACCAAATTGATATTGTAGCCGGGACATAATTAAATCCCCGTACCCCTACCCCCTCCACCACCACCTCCATCCCGCGTACCATTTCGTTAATATATCGGACGGATACCCTCCGACGACGAACCTTGTCCGAATAAAAAAATAATATCTCCATCCCAACGGTAATTTATACTATATAGTTTAATCATTTGAAAAAAACGAAACCCCGTCTTCGTCGTTTTGGGGATTAGACGTGATCCCTATGTTATCTTATATCGCATCGATTGCTGTACGTCACAATATACGTAGATAATTTATTCGACATAAACTGTCAATAAGAGATGAGCAAATGCCCATATCCGTGCGCAGGATTTGTTCACAGTATGCGCTGTAAAGAAAATTGGCCGTTATTCCTAAAGTAGGCTTTATGGCCCCCGCTCTGAAATAAGAAGACAGCGAATGCAAAATGTCAATTCATTAAAAAAGCATATTGTGTGCTACCTAGGTACTTTATTTTTTCACGGAAACATCAGTATATAACTGAATAAATATAGATAACCGTAAAAAAAAAATTACTCGATATATTTTTGTAATAAATTATTATATCTTTAAAATTTTTTCAAAAAAACTTAATATTGCCACTATTACAACAAACCTCAAGTAAAGTCGATCTCGAACTCAAGGCGGTGATAAGTTATAATATTATGATTAGTGGTTGCCGGTTACACGTTCGTTTAGTTTATGAGTTACTTAATGTTATTTTTTCATACCTCACGAGTCAATATTTTACTGAATAAATTTCGTTTTCAACCCACGATATACCTGGTACACCCGGTGTGCATGCCTATAACAAGAATCCCCGACTATAACGACAAGGTCGCAAAAATCCAAATAAATTACGTTTCTATACGTATAAATGCACATTCGACACAAACAAACGTATCGAATTTTGGATCTAATACTAAACAAATTGGCGAACGGCCAACGAAATCTCTGAAATCGACAGTCGCGCATCCCTTTTATAGCGTTTTCCATATCTGACTGAACTCGCGTATAGTGTTCGTACACTTTTTACCTACTATTCCCTGCTATCGTTCGTACGCAGTGAACAATAAAAAATTCCATATGCCGGTGCATACATTTCACGAGTACGAAAAACCGACGCCATCGGTTTTAACTGTGTGACGGTGTGTAGAGTATGTTTGATACGCGTTTTTCATATGATCAGTATTTCAATTTGATAACTGTTATCAAGTTTCCAAACGATTTAATACGATGATATATGAAAACTGCTTTGTTCCATAGATATTTTTCAAAATAACTTATTCAACCGGGTAGGTACATCATCGGAGTGTGATATCACTGACCGTGTGTAGTGCACACGAGTGTATAGTCAGATGGAAAATACTATAAAAATGATTGATTCAATTAAGTAAATTTGTTAAAAGAAAACATTGAAATTTAAAGTCTGAAAAGACGTTTGACGTGTTGAGCCCGTTTTCTCTTTTAATCGAATAAGTAACGTAAATAATGTTTTTAAAATTATATTTTATGTATTTCGGTTTGAAATTATTTTTAACATAAATGCACATTGCAGGTTTATCAGATGTTTAGTTCTGTGTTTTTTTAGCAAAAATTTTTAGAAAATGTTTAATTGTCAGCCCATTGTTTTATTTTTGTTTTGGAAATCATTTGGACAATCACGATTTTTAGGTACTACAATATTATACCAGCTGGTGTGCGAGCTATTTTTATTGACGTCCATTTTATTTAACTGGATGTGATGGGTATACAATTTCCCTAGAGAAATTTACCTCTTCCATAGGCTATTTGTATGGAAGAGTTAATAATTACTGGGAAAATTTTACCAACGATCAGTTTTTTCCAGTGTAATTTTACCCTCGGAAAAATTTGTCTAGTGAATTTCTACCGGGGAGTAAACATGCACTAATGAAATTTGAACGCGAGAAGGATAAGGTTAAATATGACGAGAATCAGTTTTTTCCATTATACCGGTTCGATTATATTAGGTTTCGTAGCTTGAAATTGTATAGGTTGTAATTTGATGATCGGCGGTAAAAGATAATAACGAACGTAAAAATACATTTCGCTGATACCATTTACCGAAGAACCCACGTATGAAATAAATCATTTTAACGATACAGTAACCAATATGATAATATTTTAGAACAGAAGTAATTTTGTTGGTATATTTATGTCGAAATAAATGACTCGAATTGTCCAACGGAAAAAAAAAAAAAGGTTTCGCACACTGTGGTAATAAAAATGTAGTAACTTTTTTACCCCTCATATATTATATAGCAGGAACCTACTTATTTTCGTTTGGGTTTTTAATAAAACGACTTTTATACATTTTTTTTTTTTTTTAAAACGACGGATAATCGTTTTAACGTTTTAGAGCTAAATATAAAATAAATACATTTGATCAATATACGTTCCGTATATGATCATATGTTTTTATTCTCCCCCCCCCCTCTCGCCCATTTAAGTTGTTGAGAGTGTTTTCCGAGGTGTCGACGGGGTAAAAAAAACATTATTTACCTACCTAATTTATTACAACGCTTGCGTTTATATGAAAGTGGAGAAAAAAATACAAACTATACGTATAAATCGAATGTAAAAGAAAAATATATATTTTTTTTTCATCGCAATAACAGGCACTGTATTGAACCGAATTCGACGACCATTCTTCGCGAAATGTTAGTTCAATAACAAATAACAAAATAACGTTTACATCGCACGAAACGAGAAATTCAAAAATTCGGGTTGGTAATTTTATTATTGAGATTTGAGTGGCTTAGGCTATTGAGTGTTTGTACGCGGACGTCCGTCGAGTTTTCTGTAACCTTTAGGATAGTAATAGGTAGTAGATTATTCGAACCGGAATGACAAGCGCTATAAGTTAGGTTAGGTTATTTACCTATCCACTTCGTATATAAATGTGGATCGGGCGAGCAATAAAAGGAAATTCGGTTCAAAACATTTAACACGATCGAACGACTCACGCGTTTCTTTTTGGGGTTTATTGCTTTTGTTTTTGGGAGCAACTAGCCCGAGAGAATAAACCAACATCGTATGAACCAACAGACTATGGAAAGGAATCGTTTAAATGTATACAATAAATGACGATGCGCGTATAAAGGATATATTCACTCTGTTGTCCAACTTCAATCTGTTTCGTAAACAAAATTTCAATCGAAAATGTGAAGAAAAAATATAAAACAAACTCAAGCATATACTATACTGGCTTAAGTGAATTCTAGTTCGAAGTAAATATTGATAACCGTCTGTTATAAGCACAAATTCATATGCAAAAAAAAAAAAAAACGAATTTATTGTACCTAATATTATGTTGATTTTTCAATTAAGCCTTTACAATTTGATAAGTAGAAGAAGCTGATATTCATCTTTATAAATGTTATGAGCGTAAACTTGTAGTTTTTTTTATCACAATGACAATTTTTTTTCGCAAGCTATAATTAATTATTAAACATTTAATTATACAATTTAACGACCGTCATTAAGTGTAGGTATGCGGCAAGCTGATAATAATATTACAATAAATATGGGATAATTTCCACAAAAACTTTACTATCGTACCAACACAATATTAAAGCTTAATCGTATTAAAATTAAAAAAAAATATAACGTATTGTTGTTATTATTTTTAATTAACCACCTGAAAAAAAATCACATTTACTTTTCATACCGGTTTTCTGCACAATTCTTCGATTATAATAAAAAATATTTTAATGGATTTTTATGTATGCCGAGCATGGGCAAGGTCCAAATGTACCGCGGGGGAGGGAATATTTTACGTATTTTTTTTTTGTTATATTTAATGCAATTATTATATGACGGACACAACACGCAGACCTTGTAGTCTCTGTTTACGGGGAAAATTCGACACGATATCGAGAACAGTTTATAGGTGCCTATACAATTCAACGGACAGATTAAAGATAACCCAAACCGCATTATGTATTACGCTCTACGAGTGTACATCGCGCATAAATTAAATAATAATGTATGTTCAGTATTTACGTATAATATTTATGAATTATTATTATACGCTCGCGCGTGGTTTCGGGCCTTTATATCGTGGACCGAGGATTAGGACTTTTGAGCGAACGATTTCGGCGAACGTTGTTTAATATTGTATTATATACTATTATACCTGTAATACGTTCGTCTGACGTACCGGCGAATTATTAGCTCCTTGCGGCTGAGCAATATCTCGGATGGTGATGAATGGGCGGGGGGTGGGCGGGGAGATTTGGCGGTAATAATAACCGATGACTGATAAATCGGCTGAGGAATTATGTAGACTACCTTGTTGGTTTTGGAAAATCGTCTTACGTTAGTACAATATAATACGTATACCGCAGAATCGTATAGGTAAATTTAAATATTTATCAAAAATATTACTCGAAATAATATACCGAAGATACTGAATAAAGACTTAAATGTCTATAATGTTATTAATCGGGACGATTCGCACATTAATACGACTAGTGTCACTGGTCGAATGATAACAATATAATATAGATATTAGTTATCTACCGGCAGGCAGCTGAGATGGCCTGGGAGAGGTCGTCCGGGCCGGTAGAATTATCAACAATTTGGACTGCTACGTACATCATGAACGAATTTTTTTACACAATTAAAGCGTTTTTAGAATTTAAATAATATCATAGGACTAGTTTGGTATTATTAAATACTTTAATACACCAGAAATTATTGTTAAGTATAATATATATACATATATACAAATAACACATTTTAAAAATGTTCGAATTTTCTCACTTGTAACACGTTTTAACACGACTTAAACAATTTTACTACTTTTTCGCATAAAGTACAAAGGTTAAAAGTATTGAAAATATTGGAGCGCTCATATCCTTTTCCGCCCGTACCAAAACTTCTAGTCCGCTATAGCCATCCAGTATTTAAAATTGGATACAATTTGAAACGGAACCGTATTTACCGAAAATCAAGGGATGTTCTCGAGAATCAAATAAACCAAAAAAAAATTCAGGAAATCAATTATGGAAACAAGACTCTCAAAATGTTTTTCTCCCACACATATTTGATTATAAAAATATTATACTAGTAAGGTTTAAAAATAAACGGCACACTTCGCTCTAACATTGAACGTATACTAAAAAACTAAACATTTGGTTCCAGGGAAGATGGGCATAAGTTAATAGTTGTTTATTAATTTGTCTAATGTAATTTTGAATTCTAAGCGGAGAGAGGAATGCGTTGGTTTAACAATGATGTTAATTTTTTGTATTTTATTTCTGTGAACAACTTTTCTACTGGATATTTTGCTCCGATTTTTAAGTGTAGCTCTTTTTCCGAAAGGAAATCTGATTGGAGTATGTGTTAAAGAAGGTTATTTTTCGATTTTCCTAGTGGTTTTCGTAATAAATGGAAAAAACCGGGAAAAAAACGTAAGAAAAACGGAAAATGTACAAAATAAACTATTTTAAAATCGTAAAACATTACGACCTTTAAAATTATATGTAACCGAACTCCGCTCAGAATCGTTTTTTGTTAGCAAAGATTAATCGTTGCGTACAGGTAAAAAATTTAATTTCCCCTCTAACTTCCCAGATTTTCGTCTACAACAGTGGCCCATCCATCGTGCGAATTATGTTCGTTTATTTTTTTCCTTTTATTCGT